TTGTGGATGTGGAAAAGGCGTTTGACTACATCCCTCAGGGGATCAAGTAGGAGGTGCTTCGAGAGTCATCCATGTGCCTACCAACTTGCAGTGGCTCCTCCACCCCCTTTTTGTGAAACAGTTACAAAATAATTTCACTGTGAATCAGCTTTGGAATATTAGAAATGTTTCTATTGTAAACACTGAAAAAATAAACTCATATATCTCTAAAAAGCAGTCATGTGAATATTATTGTACAGAAATAGGCCGTGTGAGACACACTGTAAAGAAACGAGTGACAGGTCTATCATTTACATCCGGATTAGTCATTAGGATTAGTCACGACGAGGATCCACGCAGCCTGAAGCCATCCATTAACTCCATGTCACCAAGTTTAGTTCATTTCATTGGGTGTATGAAGGGGAAAAGATTTATGTCAAATAGTTCCAGAGAGTTATGTATTGTGTTCAAGAATATTTGTAATAAAGAAACATTTCCTGCTTCAGACTGAATATCAAGTTCATGATTAGCTTTCTGATCATGCCCGATCTTTTATATCATAAGGTGACATTATAATTTTTACAAAGTATTACATCATGTAGAGAAAGGCGGGTGAAGTAGATTTTCCATTGCTGTGTAAATTAAGTCTTGAAACCTTAAAAACAACAGCTGCTCATTTCACTCACAGCTTTTTAAGATATAACGCATGCATGCTGGGCTGTGCCAAGTTGTTGGATACTAAAGCTCCAAGCATGAAGCAGCCCTTTAAAAAAGAATAAGGGCATAGAACTGATTGCAATTGTATTTTCACACACACATTGTCAGAGACATCAAATGTCATGTGTCTGCGGTCCTATTGATTGCCTAGCGGGGCATCATGGGAAAGAACTCTGAAACAACCCGCAGAGGTTAATGTACACGCATTTCAACCTGCTGGATATGAGTCAATACATCCCTATCTATTGACTGCAAACCACTCAACAACATGTGTCAAGTGCAGAACTACGTAGATATAAGAGTGTTTTAACTGACATGGAGTGGCAGCTAGGCGATATTTACCCCATATCCCCATTTTGGAAACACAAGCTACAGGCTCAAAAATATTAAAAGAAATCAGACCAAAATGTTTAAAGGACTCAAATTTTAACCACAACAATCAATTTACCAAATTACATTGAGAAAATAACTCAATGTAAAAGGGTTCAATTGCAATGAACCTACTTGCGCAGAATAATCTTCTGAATCTATGGACTCCCATTCACTTAATGATTTGTTTCAAGTCATTGCTTTGCTTTCTGGCCCACCACTTTGATGTTTTGGTTCACTCTCACTCTTCACTAATTCTCATAGCATTGTTTGCAAACAGAGAAGAGAGCTGGAGGACACATATTGAACTATTTTGCAGCCAAAGAACCAGATGTCTCTTCTTGGACCAGTAAATAAGTAGGTAAAGTTTATTTATGCAGCACTTTTCAAGAACAAGATTCACAAATGGTAAATGGACTGTTAGTTATATAGTAGTTTCTACTCAATTTGAGCACTCAAAGCACTTTCTTCCTACAAGCCTCATTCACCCATTCCCACAAATGCATTTTTCTAACACTCACACACTGGTGGATCCATTGGGGGCAATTCGGGGTTCAGTATCTTATTCAAGGATACTTTGAAATGCAGGTTGGAGGAGCAAGAGACTGAACCACCGACCTTCCAATTAGTAGATAACCTGCTGTATGTAAGTCACAGCCACGCTACAATATAAAATAAATGGACAAAACACAATAAAAGCAAACCTGCACGAGTAGCTCTTAAGCTTCTTCTTAAAGGTATCATCAGTGTCCACAGATCATAAGTGCACAGTCTGATTTTTATTCTGAACCTGGACTGAGGTACCACAGACATGATCAGTTGACCTCAGAGACATAGCAGTTAACATATTTATATACAGCTTCACAAATACAGGGAAACATCTGACCTTAAAGATCTCTGAAACGAACTTTAAACTGAACACTCAACTTTACAGGAAGCCAGTGGGAAGAATCGGTGTTACATCCAACCTCAGAGTGGACCTGGCAGGAAGCCTCACTGCAGTATGTGGGAACATTAATAAGTGATTTGCTCAGTTTAAGGATTAATGAATTCCAATAATTTAGGTGTGATGAAATAAAAGCATGTTTGAACTTGTATAACATCAGAAATCTTTCTAAGACACACATTCAGAAACATTTTATAGTATTTTAAATTTGAATTAAGGGTTAAACCCTGTGTGGTTACACCACCTTCTTTTAAAGGAAGTCCAAAAACATAAAGAGAAATTAATAAATATTAGAACAAAAGCAAAGCTAATACATAATAGTGACAGCTGACCTGATAGAGCAAAAATTAAAAAAATACACAAATGATGTTCTTTCACATTCACAACAGTCTGGGTCAGTGATCTGGAACAACGCGGCCTTTGAATGACAGAAAACCTGCTAAGTGGTCTGACTGTCGGATAAACCTGGTGTTTGTGTGATTTTCAAACATTTCCCGTTTATTTCTATATTATATTCTTTAAGCTCTCGGGTGCTCTTTGTGTTTTGCCGTAAAGGTCAGTGGAGCTGCTGCGTGTGGGTTTAGTTTGTAATGGTTACAAGTATTCTTGTTGCTGTCATTTTCTCGAAATATGTAAAGAAAATTGCCTTGAATTAACTGTTAGGACTGATATATCAAATCTATATCAGAGCAGTACATAGAACATGTAGACTCAGCCACCAGTTTATTGAGTGTACCAAACTGCAAATTATTTTAGGCAGAGTGTGACACTGCACTTGCATTCTTCTTGCTTTAAAATCCATGCTTGCAGTCTGGGAACAGGCCTGAAATCATTTGCAGTCAGTTGCAGTCTTCAAAGCAACTTACATGTACATGTTGCTGCCACCCACATCTACTTTAACTACCACTCCAGGAATATAACCAGGGTAAAACTAGTTTGCAACCAGTTAAGTCAAGTCGCCTATACACTAAAGAGGCACGTTGCACACAAGTTGCATGCGACCTATATAATCTCATTGCAAGCAGCGGTCCCCCCCACAGGTTGAGAATGCAACACCCACAGCTGGTCACCGTAACTACTTGCATGTGCTCTTGGACCAGCTGAAAAGTACCGCCATGACTAATTGACCAAAAGACACTGGTCACTACTGGTTAACAATCGTCTTGCCTTGCTCGGTGTCTATTTAATGACTGAAATCAGCTCAGGAATCTGAGGCAAAGCTCCACACAGCCAAGTATCATCAAGTCAGTCAGGAGGGAATTGTATTTGTCATGTGGCTAATGTTCTGACCTGCTGTTGTGCCACATGCTGTCCAGTTAGATAAGTCGCCGCCTTTGTGTGAGTTGTTTAAAAAAAAAAAAAAAAAAAAAGCAAACAGCTTTTCTTTCCAATATTACAATTGCTATACGACTTCGAATAGCAGCACCTTTCTCTGCGAACAACAGCAAAGCTTGTTTACAGAAGCAGAGGAGACCTTACTCTGATCCCATGAGTTCCATCAGAGGATCCGGCTGTGCAGCAAAGAAATAAAACATTAAGCAGCTTCAAATGTTTCTGATCAAAAAAAAAAAAAAAAAAAAAGTCAGGAGCAGAAATCACACAACAGACTGAACTTCACAGGCAGACTGACTAAAATCCCCTGTTGTGCTGCATGGTAAATATCTTCCACTCCTGCACCACTTGTTGCTCAGATGCTTTGATTTGGCACAGCCGTTTCCCTTGCTGAACCATCAAATACCTAATTTAAACACCAGAAAGACTGTGTATCTCTCTGCCTTTTTCCTCATCCCCTGCACTGCTTCCGTCTTATATGCTAATGCGTGAACACACAGCGCTTTAGTTATGAATTTACCTTGGCTCTCTTTGGGAACAAATACCAGGCAGAACAAAGCTGAGCATACTTGTCCTAGATGAGATAGCTTGATGAAATCTCTGCATGTGTGTGTAAATACATGCAAGTATATCTGTGCAGGAACAGAAAGAGGATCAAACAAATGTGCATGGGCGCACATGCATGTTTCTTCTGTTCTTTTTAAGAGCCTCTCTTTGTCCCTGGAGACCCTCCACTCTGCAATCTATCATTCGACATGTTCATTAGCGTAAGTGTGTGTTGGTGTGTGTGCTGTATGTGATTCACCAGGCATCGCTCGCCTGGGAATCAGCATTAAGCGGTGCAGCAGCTCGCCATATGCTGAGATCAGGAAGAAGAGCATCAATTAACAGACTTTTGATCCTTTCTAATAAAGCACAAACACATTGTACAACAAAGGCTGATAGCAACAAATCCCACAATGGGATCTAACAATCAATGGAAGCGTGTAGCTCTGACTCAAACCTAAAAATAGAGTGATCTGATAGCTCTGTGGTATTTAAGACTGAAATTTGTTGTTTTCTGTACACAATATTGATAGACAGCCAAAAGCATGTCAAACTTTATTCAGTGACTTTACTGGAAAAAATGACTGGTCGGTGCTGCCCTGTGTGCACAATAAGCAAGGGTTGTGCCTAGTGGCCAATCTTAACCATCTAATCTGACCATCTCAAAAGAGCGGTGTAGTCTGACCCTAATAATACTCCAGAGAGTACAAAAAGTGAACAAAGCTATTTTGACATCACCCATTGTTTTGTGAAGTCCTGTTATGAAGACTTGAACTGAGTGTTTTTTCTCTTTCAAACAAGCAAAAAATGGTGCGACTATGAAACCGCACGCTCATTGGCTAGTGATAAGTCTTTAGCCAATGAGAATACCCAGGATAATCCTCCTTTGTGACTCTTGGATCATAAGTCATAAAATTGACTTAATTTTCTTTTCAGTAAAACCCAAATCTAGGTCATAAAGTCATCAGGAAAGTGTTTAGTGAGGTTGCAGAGCGAAAAAGAAAGCCAGGGCTGTTTTCCCATAGAGAGGTATACAACTGGAAGTCATTCTGCAACCACAAGAGTTACCCCCTGATGGGCATTAAATAGAATGCAGGTTTAAAACACTTACTTTTTTGGCTTCAGTTTTCAGACCTCAAAGTTACATCCATCTGTTTACTCTCGGTGGACGTTACAGAGGTTTACCTGTGGTTGAATAAAATAGTTTAAGAATAGAAGTCACTGTGCATAAAACATTTAGAAAAATCATTTTAAAAGATGAAACAGAACTAAGGATAAACAGGAGAAAAGTCAGTATGGAATAAGGTGGCAGTTGTGAGCCTTTGGCGAAGAATTTGTCAAATTAATGTTGTGGGTGAGAACCGGTCATGCCACGATTTATGCTGCCTGCTGATGGACAATATCTTAATCTTTGAAATATTTGTGTTTTTCCTATCCAAAGAGGTGTGGGGGGAAAAAAAACTTACTTTCACCTACAAGAAATAAAACAGGATGTCTCAGACATAAAAATCTCAAATCACCCCAGAATGTTAGCAATGGAATGCGCATTCAACATATGGCACCTCTTCTATGTGAATAATAAAGGGATTGAAGTGTGATCAACAGTTGCCAAGGTAACACATGTTTGTTCTCATATGCGATTTGTAACTAAATTTAATAAAAGCGGATGAAATCACAAGGCTGTTTTATTATAGAGCACAGTCTGCTACAGTGGGGACAGAGCCACTTTGAAGTATTTATTATCATTGTTTATTCATCCATCTTTTACAGAGTATGCACACACGCATGTTTGAGATCCAATGTAATTCTTAAACCACCTCAATTTGGCTGAAACATTCCTGGTGCACAAATAATGGTATTTTAGGAGATTCTTTACTTAAACTGATTAAATGAGCCTACAATTTTTTACAGACTTAATCATCAGTTATATGAATACTGTGATATATAAAGGATGGTATTAATGTTGCTGTTAATATACAAATCTAATACTTAACCTTAATTCAGTGATGATTAAAACATTTATCATGTGCACATGCCCTAAATCCATATGTTAGTTAAAAAACAAAATCATAATAGGTTAAAAATTAAGGAGTACTTATTACCTTCAAATATCATTAAAATGCTATTCCTGGTACCTAAATTAAATAAATATTAATTACTAGATTATGGGCACTTTAATGGAACATTTAAAGGAAACCTTACAACTTCATATTATTATTGGAGTGTAACAGATTAGCTTTAAATGACTCAGTTTGAAATAAAATCCATATTTATCATGGGCATGAGGTAGGACCATGATAATACACAAGATAATAAAGAAAGAGAAAACAGGAGGTGCAACACATTTAAAAAGGAAAAAAACCAAACAAAAATGGACAAGGGAAATAAACTAAATCCCGTTAAGCACACTAGACAAAGGCTACCAAAGTAAGAGAGGAAATAACCAAACAAGCGGGACCCCACTGATGAAAACTTTACAGAAAGGGCAGAACAACATGGAAGATATGCAAAACCCAAGAAAAAGAACAGAATTAATACACAAAGGGGAAAATAATTTTAAAATTGGACCCAAGTGTGGAACAGAGTGCGAAGACAACAGAAGTAGTTTTAACAGTTTTATTTTGGTGGTGACAAACACAGCATAATAACTTGGCATAGAAACGTGGCAACTTAGAATATAAACAGAATACAACTTAGCAGGGTGAGGGGTGAGGGACTAACGAGGTGGACTGAGTCATGGCTGGAAGCGGGTGTGGTAGCAGTTGCAGGTGGAGTTGGAGTAGATTTGATGGGAGAAGGTGTAGCTCCGGGTGAGCTGAGCGGAGTGGAATGGCTGACCTGGGTTCGAGAGATCCACCGAGCAAAAGGTGACAGGAGGGCAGGCAGGTGTAGAGCTGGAAGCTTTCCAAGAGGTGGCGTGTGAAGAGCAGAGAGTATGGCTTGGAGTCTGAGAAATGAGCAAAGCCTGAGGGATGAGCCGTGGCGTGACCAGAAAACTGCAGCACAAGAGAACAAGGTGGACTTGAGACAATAGCATAGAGCATCAGAGCCTGTTACTAACATGGGTTAGTTGACAAACTGGCGGTGACAAGACAACGCAGGTCTTGGCGGACACAGGTGAATCTGGAACCCAGTGGAAATTTCCAGCAGCTCACCTGGACTGTGACAAAGAATCACACATTTACACAAAGAAAACTAGAAAGTCCACAAAAAACTCAAATCACAGGCTAGCATATCCAGGACCATAACAACTTCCTGCAAATCGAAAGCTTCAGTAGAAGGAACATTGGGCTGCTGTACTAGCAGCCAGCCTCAAATGACCATGTTAAGGAAATCCACAGCCACTGGTGTCCAGGAAAACTGTTGGAGACGGCACATTTAATGAAATATGAAGCCTGAGGTTTTGGCCTCATTATCTGAAACTTTGGCCATGTTATAAATACGCATCCAACATCATTTTAATATATGCATGGCAGAAAATAAAGCATGGTATGTTCCCTTTAAAACAAATCTACTTTTAAGAGAGAATAAACCCACACAGAAACATATGTACAGAGCATCAAAGAATCCATCAGACCTCATACTGTTTTGGCTTTAAAGAAGCTCAAATGAAAGTAGCAACATAAAATGATGATCTAATGTCACCGGGCTTCAGCGTCTCATCAAACGGTCACACTCTGAGGCAGAATCTAAATGGCGTTTGGTACTATATAGATATTTTCAACAGTCGACATGGTCTGTGCCGCAGGTGGCAGAATATCCATTCACCTCTCAGGGTGCTTTCTCTGCTCTCATTTCATTTCTCATGGATGAAAGAGAATAAGGGGAAAATGCTACCCACTGGTTCTCACTTTACTCAACAGCACTCTGCACTAGGCTCTGTTTTGTCAAAAGCCAAAATGGCTTCATTGTAATTCAGCAGACATGTTTGAGAAGTAAGGGAGATGACAAGTCTTAAGACACTCAATATTTCTCGCTGCTGTTCATGTGAAGAGTGAAAAGATGAAGATTTTCTGCATAGGAAATAATCGGGAGTTGATGTCTTGGCTCTTCTATGACTTCGAAAATGTGTTTTTGCTGTGCCAGCTGTACATATTTATATATAACTGGTGAAAAAGACATCCACACACATATTATATACAGCTGTGGTCAAAGGTTTCATCACTCGCATGTCATGGTAATCTGGGGCTATTAAAGATTTATTTGACCTCTTCTTTATTCCAGGGTGTTATCATTGTGCAGCATATATTAACTTCTTTAAAAACTGAAATGGGTGCACATGTTTGAATTCCTTTTGGATTTTCCCTAATCTATATAAGGTTAAATGCATTGTTAAAAAAAATTAAAGGAACACTTTCAAAACACATCACATCTCAAAGGGGAAAAAACATGCTGGATATCCATTACTGATATGGACTGGATAACGTGTTGCCATTTTTTGATCAAATTAAAATGTTCAACCTACAGTGGGACAGAATTCAAAGACACCCTGAAAATCAAACTGAAAAAAAATGGTTACGGCAACACACTCTAATGAAGGAGAAAACCTTTGGAAAACACAAAGGAAATTATTTGTATTGATTGAATTGGTATGCTTGGTGATAAATGGCCAACAAATGCAACTGATCAGTTTTCTAATCTACGCTCTATTAGCTAAAATTCCAGGAGTGTAACTTAGACATAAAATCGTGTAAACACTTCCAGCATCACCAACTGAATACTAGGGCTGGGCCATATTATACCGTTCACGGTAATACCGGTATAATGTTAGGCAACGATAGGAAAATGAAATATCGCGATAGAATATGAGTAAAACGCGCATGCGCAGTGCCTTTGTTTTCATACGCACATGGCCGATTGTTGAGTGAAACAGATGAACCAGAATTGGTTTGTAAAAATGGTGCAACTTCAGTGATGTGGAACTGGTTTGGTGTTTGTCCGTCAGATACACAACAAAGCACATTTTTTTGCAGAACATGCAAGCGGCCATCGTTATTGTTGTATTTGTCGGACTAAGATGCTCTTAAATCTGGGAGTAATCTGGGTCCTAAATTCAGTACTCTTCAGGTCAAACAAACACTGCAGCATCACTGAGAGTTAACTGTCTAAATTCTTTCATCTTTAATAAAACGATCAGCATTGCTGCTTTACCAGGTGTAACAATTCAGTTTAACTTCCAGGCATCCATGAAAACAAAATTTATTACATTTAACGGAGTTAGAAGTTAGCAGGAAGCTAGCGGAAGTTAGCTCGCTAGTTTCGCTAGTTACCTAAGCATGATATAGCATGTTCTGACTGAGAGATTTCTGAAAAAATTCAAACGTACAGCTCTGCTATCACTTCCAACATAAATGAAGGCAGGAAACTAAACAGCAGTGACGTTTGTAGGGTTACTGAAGTTGGGCTAGCTGGTATATAATGATGTGCTACGTGATCGCTAGCGACACAGCTATGTTAGCATAACATAAACAGTGAAGCTGGAGGATGAACACTAAGGTTCCTCATGGTTAGAGACAAATGCAATCGCATGGCAGGATGCTGTAAACGGACCAAACGTCAGTCAGGAGAACAACTGAGATAATCCATCCACAATACAAGGCTAGTCATTAATATACTGCAACAACATGGGAATAGAGCAGCTGCCAGAGAATTCAACATCAATGAATCAATGGTACAGAAGTGGAGGAAGCAAGAAGAATGAGTTTAATAAAGTTTGATTTATCTAACTGCTTTGTTTAGCTCAATGTGCCTTATGGTCCAAAAAATACGTACTGCACACTACAGTTTAATGTTGCAAAGCACCTCTTTTTAACTTCAGTGGATATTATATATGGTTATGCTCAGGATATGTCAGCCCATTTCTACTGGAAATGCCTTTTGGTTAAACTTTCAGCAAGGAATTTGCATTTGCACTGTTACATTTTTATAAAGCTTTAATGTACATAAAAACCAGCTTCTTGTTTAAGTGAAAATTAATGGAAGGTTGTCTTTTTGCGCTAGTAATGTTGTGGAGTATTTTGTCTCGCATCAATTATATCGTCAGTTATATCGTTATCGCAAATTTTCAAATGTATATCGTGATAAATATTTTTGGCCATATCGCCCTGCTCTACTGAATACATGTCAAATCCAATGAGAAGGTGACACACACTTTGTGCCTCGGTAACATTATAGATGGGCTTCATTTTATGGGGTTTTTTAAACTACAACTTAATATGCTGAACTTTAAAAGAAAACACATTCTCCTAGCAGAGGATCTATATCACACTTGTGGGCGCTTCTACCTGATTTTAAACTGAAACTGAACATATGCTGGTCCTGATCAGGGTACGAGTTCAGCATGAGTGGCAACAGTGAGTTAGTCACGCAATAAGAGAGTAAATTCTATGAAAAAAATGGACTTTAAGCCTAAGCTTGGCAGGATATCTGGCACTTTTACCCAGCTGTCCAAGAGGTAAGGAACAAAAAGTACAAACTGTACACACAGGACACAGACAGGGATGGGAAAAAGAAAGAAAAACAAGAGGAAACAACAGAAAAGTAATGATCAGTCTTACTAGAATCCATTTGTGAGTCTGATGTTGTAGGCAATTCTGTTTTTGTCTGTTGGTCATTGTTTACGAACGGCGACTTGGGTCACTTGTACAACAGCTTCTAGTGCAGAACAATAAAGGTGAAAAAGTCAATAATGCTGCAGATACATTTTTAACAACAGAGAGAAATTAACTAAATTATCAGATGATAGCCAGTGGTTTTGGCATTGGTCTTCTGCCACTTCTCTTTTATTCTTTAAGCAAACTGTTTACCTGCATGCAACGATTCCTTGCTCACAGCTGACTGATCAATAGCACTCAGAGTAAAAGCAACAACAAGAAGAAACCAAAAATCTTTTCATTGCTAGCAGATTACAACAGTAGCAATGATCAAAAATAAGATTTCTAAATAAGGTGTATGTGTAGAATTAAGGGACAGCTAGTTGTCACTACTCTCTGTGGCAACTGTATCTGTATCGTAAACATAGGTAAAAACGAATTGGTCGAAACCCACTTTATAACCACAGCCTGATGGGGGGTTTCTATTGAATAAATAGATAATAATAAATACATAGACATTTTGTCCTGTTATCTTTAGACAGATCCAGGTCAGCCATTTTCCTTTGTTTACACTCCTGCGAAGCTAATCTAACAGGCTGCTATGTGTAAGTGACAGTATGCAAATACGACTGAAAGACATTATTTTTGGCTTATATTTAGAATAACATAAGAAACGCAAACTGTTTACCTTTTCAGTAACTATCAGAAATAACCTTGCAAGTTAAAATTTGAAACAAGGAACTAAAGGAACGCAGAAGAAGAAAATCATGAAGCAGTGCTTGTTCATTTTGCACTCTGGTGAAGCCAGTGTTTTCATGAAATGTTGGCACATTGTTGGGGAGTCCACTCACTCGCTGCTTTTCCCCTCAACTCGGGGACTTGGCTCGATATGAGGAGAGTGTTTTTACATAAAAATCAAGATACCACGATTCTATTAAATTTGAATGAACTTCGGAGAAACCCATGTTGCCTTTAGGAAAAGGAATTCGGTCGAAGTCTTGGAACGAAACAAATGTAAGCCAATCAAATTAAATGTAGATGAAGGAACAAAATAAAACGAGTTTAATGGAAGAGAAAATTAAGTATTTGGCACGACAGAGTTTAAATTATTGAGCTCTCTTTCAGCTCACAACCAGTGGCTTCAGGGTGCTACAGGAAGACCCCAAAAGACACGTCTGGCCTTTCTCTCCAGCATCCTTTTAGTTTTATAGTTCCTAATCTCCTGCAGTGCGTTCCACAGCTTTTACCATTGTGGTTATTTGCTGCATGGAGTGACTCACAAAGTAGTGCCATTAATCATAAAAGTACAGCTCAACCTGACACTCAAGTCTTTTAATTTACTGTTTGGAAGATAAAAGTTTGCAGAAACATTAATATTGTGAAATAAACCCACCGTATAAACAATAGTTTGGTGGTGTATATGAATACAGTTATGTCCATAAATATTTGGACAATGACAAGTTTTTGTAATTATGTTTCTGTATTTCGCCACAGTTTTAATTTAAGAGGGTTAACAAAAGCATTGCACTGACTGTTTAGGACTTTTAAACAGTCCCCCTTTTCAGAGGCTCAAAAATAATTGGACAATTGACTGACAAGCAGTTGCCAAGTGAGGCCTGTTCATTTGTTGTTTTCTAACAAATGAAATCTGGAGTTTAATCCAAGTGTTAAACTTGTATTTGGAAATCTCGACATTGGATCCAAAGAGATGTTGATGCAAGTGAAGGAGGCTATCATTAGGCTGAAAATAAATCCATCAGAGAGACAGCAAAAACATCAGCAGAGGCCAACAACCTTGTGAATTCTTAAAAAGAAAAAATGCACGGGGCACTTCTACAACATCAAAATATCTGGAAGACCACAGCAGGGTTAGTGCACAATGACAGATTTACATGGTTAACAAAAACAATGTGATAACATCTAACCAAGTACAGGATTGCCTTGAGGAGCCAGGTGTATCATCATCAAGGTCTATAACCAAGAGATGGAAATATTGAGGGATAGGAACAGGAAGACCTGGTCAGGCTGCCAGAAAACATCTAAAAGAGTCTAAAAGAGTATATATATATATATATATATATATATATATATATATACACACACACACACACACACACACACACACACACACACATATAAATATATATATATATATATATATATATATATATATATATACATATATACACACACACACACATATATGTACACATACATACTATGTGTATGTATATATACACACACACACACACACACACACACACACACACACACACACACACACACCTACATATACAACTTTTTTTTAAAATCCTGGTTAATGTTAGCCACAACGATAAGTCTAATGCAACACCCTCATGACCCATCAGGACAGGGACTCGAATTTAGGTGAATAATTCTTCATGTACCCACATTTGGGGATTTTGTTCCCCTCACCACCACCCGGCCCACTACAGCTTCATCTGATAAACACTCAAAGTTTGTGGCACTGGAAGAACTTTGGCATCAAAATTAGCTTGTCTGAAAGTCCCCTTGTGGCTTTTTGTTCTGAAGCACAGTTGGAAAAGCATGCCAGGAATGACCCTCAATCCCAGAATGATGATATCATGACAGAACCAACAGCCAAAAGCTGTCACAGCACTGAGTCAGTCAAGTGATATAAAAACAAGCAAAAAAAGAGAGCGAGAGAAAACCACAGTTGGCTCTTTCTCTGTATTAAATGCACATGCTGCATCCATCAGAGCATTTCTTATAAACAAAGATGCTCTATTGAAGCAGTTTAGCCTAAAGCAAAAATACCAAGAAGTTTAACATTTATAGGTTTTAACATTATTGCAGCATCACATTTGGCTGGCATCTGTGCTTGTTTCAAAGGTTTTATAGGCTATCTGTGTACTAAACGTATGTGCATGGTTGCCGCGATGTTTATTTTATTGTTGGTGACACTTTATAACTTCATTATTTATCACTATAGTAAAAAATAGGCTCCTCACAAAAGGATGGTAAATGAGCTCAGCCACTACTTCTGAAATGGTGATATCTATTCTTGCTAAAGCATTCATTTTTGTTACCTCGCTCTACTTCAAGCTAAAGAATGGCTGCCAATGATGAAAGCAATTAATGGCATCTAAAAGGAGCCGTAAGCAATGATGCAGTGACTTAATCTGCCTTCTATTGCAGGGCCTATATTGAATCTGTCAGTCTGCCTGTGTGCCACAATAGGCTATTGTTTAGGAGGAGGACATGAGGGATGACTTCTGCCTAGGCAACTGTCTTTTACGTTAGGATACACCTGAGTAGACACCCATGCTATACAGTCTGAATGGGTAATACACTACCTTAGTTATGTATGTACACTTTCAGCATATTTTTGTAATGACCTATACGTTCAGGGATGTGCATAGAGGCAAACAGGGATGGAAATCTTTACAAATACAGTCAAACATGCAGATCATTTCATATAATTTGAGCGATACTGGGCTGTTTAGCAGAAGAATTATGTCTTATAAGACATTTATATTAGCCTTTAAATAATACAACAAAGAGTAAGGAGCCAAAAACATATTCTCATCCACAGACTTTCTGTGAATACACCTCAGAAAATCCCAGCAGGCAGAGACAGCTACTATACATGCAAACTCACAACCAGTATGAATACTCAAAACTCATACAATCACAGGCACCGGCGCTCTAAAATAAGCCACTAAAAGATGAGATAAGCACAGAAAGAGAGTCGGCACGAAGGCTTATACTCTACAACACAAACACCTTGCATGCAAAATTCTGTGTGCTGAGATGACAACGCTGCTAAAAGTGACACAGGTGCACAACCTGCTTGCATTAACATGTGCATTTTTAGAACATGTGCCAGGCTTTGTATGTTTAAAATAATTTTTTGTAAACATAATATGAAGAGTAAACATATCTGCTTGTTTAACATACTATTGAGTGTATATAACAACAATATAATCATAGCATATGTTCACTTGCCAATGCATATATTAGATTCCCTACCATGAAGCATTAATAATCAACAATTTTGCCTTCAGCTTGACACAATCTGGACATTTTCATCTAACCTCTGGCATCAAGAAGGTTAAAGGATATTTTTTCTGCTCATTTTCTATAAACTCTTAGATTGTTATGCAGGAAAATCCCAGCAGATCAGCAGTTTCTGAAATACTCAGCCCATCTAGGACCAACAGTGTTGGGAAGGTTACTTTTAAAATGTATTCCACTACAGAATACATGCCCCAAAATGTATTTTGTAACGTATTCCGTTACGTATTCTGAATACTTTGGATTACTTAATATATTATCATGCTTTTTACAACTACATGAATGTACTATTGCTGTGATTTATTACTATTACTGGAGGTAAAGGGACCTCTGGCTAATATGTCAAGTTCTGTGTCGGGCTCATAGCCGAAAGCTAGCTTTACTTTGTTGTCTGAGTCAACTTTGCTTACGAGAGACAGAGAGAAGCGTTGAAAGGCTGCTCCAACGGAACTTATTGTTTCGGAGGAAAACACGAGTAACTGTATTGTAAATACCACCTTTTTAAACGGTAACTGTAACGGAATACAGTTACTCATATTTTGTATTTTAAATACGTAACGGCGCTACATGTATTCCGTTACTCCCCAACACTGAGGACCAACAACCACGCTACCTTCAAAGTCAAATCACCTTAAATCACATGTCTTCCTCATTCTGATGCTCAGTTTGAACTTCAGCGAATTATCTTGACCATGTCTACGTGCCTTAATGCACTGAGTTGCTGCCAGTAATCTAACAGGTATACCTGGAATGAAAACATGGCGGCTGGGTGTATATCTATTATTAAATGCATTTTCTATAGAAAGGTAAAAACTTCATAAATTCCATCCTAATATTTTTTTCTCTTATTCTCAATCTTTGTCTAGTCAGTGGCTTTCAGGAGCCCAGAGGGTCTCTGGGTTAACGACTTTCCCAGCCACGGCTGGACAGATAGACAGATGTGTTCTATAGATGGTGTTGTTGGAGATAAAGTCGAGGGGGAGTTACCATGTGTCCTGGTTG